TCTATGTACATATATGTACACATTTATAATTAAAAAAATCTAAATATGACTGTTAAATAATATAATATAATAAATATAATATAATATAATGATTATATTATATTATATAGGGTATGTTCTCTAATATAACAATTTTAAGTCAAACACATAATTAAAAATAATTATTGTTATATCATTTTAATAATATAACAAATCAATTTTAAGATTATATAAGCTTATCAACATTTACATCATATAAATGTTTGATTTTAAATGTATACATTTTATTTGTGTATTATATGTATTGTAATTACATTACAAGTTTAAAAAACAAAATAATAATGTTAAATATAAACAATACATTATATATACTTCTATATAATAATATATACATTCTAATAATATATAATAATGTTAATAAATGATCTTTAGGATTATGTAAGTACATCATATACAAATATATACTGTAAATGTATACATTTTATTTGTGTATATACAAACCTTATTATTCATATTAAAAATGAACATTATAAATGCTTCACACAAATGTTACATTTGTTACAATGTTACAGAAAAAAAAAAAAGCTTTTGATGCATTTCTGTCAGGACCACTATCGTCAAAGATGATTGACAATTAGCATACAGTCTGGATTGGCGGTATGGTTCTGTTCTGGGCAAGAACTCCCTGCGCATCCATGCAGCCTAGCATGGATGAGAGCAGGGAGAGCAGCGATAACCCCCCCAGGGTAAACAGAACAGAACCAACATAAATGTATTGCAGATATCGTTAAAGTTCTATAATGTTATGTACACATTTTAGAATAAGTCTGATTCAAAGGAGAATCAGAAGGCTGAATCCTGACTGACAGAGGAGGAGCTGGGGATGGAGGAGGTTAATTAGCTATTGAGCAATGCGAAAACTGCTGATAATACTGAGGGACCTTATATATGAATGCTTAGATAGGTGTCGTATTCCCATAGGTTGATGGGGATCAGCTGAGTGTCAGCTGATGCGAGCTTGACTAACGTGACCTGCCAGAACTAACGCTATGCTAAATTCTACACTTGATGCGCCATGGAAAGGTTTTTAGCCTTTAGTATAGAAAACAGTAAACAGAAAGTAGTAAGCATACTCACTCATAGAAGGTAGTCCATCCGTCTTCATTGCTTTTTGTGGCCAGCAGACCTGAGCTTCCATGATAAGTCATCATGGCAATCTCTTGACCCTGCGCAGCAACACTCTTCAGCGCATTATTAGTTCCAATAGTGAACCAGAACGTCTGGCCATCGGGACCCATCAGCCAGAGCGGCAATCCCGTTGTGTCTCTACGAATGGTCACTTTGTTCTTATTCTTATCCGTGATGCTGCTCAGGTCACCTTCACCAGAGTAGGTCAAGTTGTACAGGTAGTCTCCAGTGGTCAGACTCTGAGTGTAGATGTGACTCCCGTTCACGTTAAACAGATAGAGCTCGTCATCAATTGGCGAGGGAACCTCAAACATGTTGAGAGGGTTGAGGAACGCTTTGTTCCTCCTGACATATCGGATGCGTATGTTTCCCAGGTCAGCGATGAAGAGTTCTCCATCGGGTGAAACCGCTAATGAGGAGGGCGCGTTTAGCTTGGCGTCTTTGGCGTAGCCGTCGTCGCCCGAGTAGCAGTCGCAGTTAGCGTCGTTCTTGCAGTCGCAGCCACTGGGGGCGCCAGCGACCAGAGAGATCTCTCCATTTGTTGAGACCTGTCGGACACGGTTGATCTTCTTCTCGTCCGACTCAGAGATGTAAAGCAAGCCGTTGTGGGAGACTGCGAGAGCGTTGGCGGATTCTAAGGTGGCGTGGATGGCGATTTTGCTGACGAGGAAGTGATCCAGGCCGGGCACCTGGCAGTGCATTGGCCTTCCCGCTACTATCCTCACTTGATGGTTCTCTGAGATCTGCAGGACTACGTTGTTGTCCAGAACATAAAGCGAATTGTCCATTGGGCTCACGGCCAGATCAGTGGGCCACTCTAGACGCACCTATAGGAGACAGGGAAAAATACACTGTTATAAAGCAACATTAAGAATATATTTTATTTGTTAGGTTTGAAAATATATTTGTCACAGGAAAAAAGTGAAAACCAAAACTGAAAAGCAGGTGCTCAACCAACTGTAGAGAAGGCTCAACTCAACTCAACTCAACTTAAAAAAAAAATAAAAAATTCAAAATCCCAACTCTAGAAAAAAGTTCAAACATAAACATAAATGTAACTATTTCTTTTTAAACAATGATGTTTCTGCCAACTTCAAGGTATTCATCAGACATCAGTGAAGAGTTTCAGAGGCAAACAGAATATTTAAAAGAACCTTTACAATAAGCAGGGAGTAGCTTAAAAAAACTTAAATCACACTTAAATAAATAACATAAATCAAGATAAAACTATTTTAACTGCAACAATATTGAATTAAAAAAGTTTTAACTCAATATTTGCTTGGCATACACAAAAGACTGAATAAAACAAAAAGATCACAATTTTAAATTCAAAAATATTTGCCAATTATATATTGCTTATAATACATTACTAAAATCATCTTCTCGATGTCCTCTTAATGGCACATTTTTATTATTATTTTTAATCATATCAATAAAACATGGCATAACGTATTTCTTGATTAAGTACTCATCATGGCATGTTTTAATAATATTGATGAGTGTTTTTTTATTATTATTATTCACAGTCTTTTGTGTATAACAATAGCAAATTTGTTTAATTTCAAAACTGTATTCCCCCCTTTTTTCAATTAAATATTGATATATTTAAAACTATGATTTATGTGATTTATCTTTTTTTTAAAGTCTTTTTTTAACTACTCCATCTGACAGAGGCATGGATCTGTTGCCTATTGTAAAGGTTCTTTTTAATGCACCATTTGCTCGAGAAACACTTGATGTTGGCAGAAACTTTTATTTTAAAGAAATAAAGTTACATTTCTGTTTGTAGAGTGAGTGTTGCATTTTTTTTCTACAGAGAAAGTGAAAACCAAAATGCCAGATACTACATTACTAATGGAAAAGTAAATATGACAACACACACACACGCATGCACGCACGCACGCACACACACACACACACACACACACACACACACACACACACACACACAGAGAGAAGGTTCGAATAGGTCACAATTGCTGCAGAAGACAAACAGTTCTTGAATTGAGGATGATTTATCTGATAAACATGAAAGTTAAGAGGAAGTTGATATGGTGATAAGAAAGAGAAGCGGGAAAGAAAAGCGAGTCAAATGATCAGATTAAAGCATAGCGGTGAGAATGATCACATGGACTCCCAAAACAAAATACTTGCACCGCATCTGTCACCCCTCCACATGGATGTCTTTCTAGCTTTGGCTTATTAATTTCATAATTTCATAATTAAAAAAGCGACTGCAGCAGGGGAACAGGACCTTCGAAACAAAACGTGGCACATGTATCAAAAAAGACCCGCTGCCTCCTGCTTGGCCGCCTAAATTATGACTTATTGTTCTGAAAATAATGCAGCAGGCTTTTAACATAGAAATTATTGAATCTGGTGAATTTGCACAGACCCTCTCTTCACTAGGGGACCGTAATCACTCTCTTAGGGGCCAAATATGAAGTGTCTTATTTCAATAGTGTTCTTGGCATGCTAACAAGGCTGGCTGACTAAAAGATGCTTTTAATGCACTCTGAGAATAGACGAAAAGCTACCAAGCTGAGCTTAATATTAAAAGTATTATATAAGTTGCAAACTAATCTGGAGCCGTCGACTGGGACATGTTGGTTTTAATGGAGAAGTGAGAAAAACTATGTAAATAGCATGACTAATGTAGTACATTAAAATCTGCCTTCAAAGTTTGCTGACTTTCTCATAATATATTCCTAAACGTCACTGTTCATAATTGAAGAGACAAAAAAAAAAAAAAAAACATTATGCTGACATTTTCATCAGAGAGTCAAGCAAACAGATAAAAAAGGCTACAAACTTCATTTTACAGACTTAGTCACTTAATATCAAATTATAAATTATAATTTAGCATTAATACTTAATACTTCTTGATACCACTTGATAATTCAAAATACCTGGAAAACTCTGGGTGAGGGGTTATGGGTAATATTTCTGCATGAGTGGATGGCTACAGAATACACAGTATAGTGCTTAATATTTCTTAAAAGCTGCATTTGTGAAACATGAAGCTGCATATGAGCATGCATAATGCAACAATAAGTAAAGTATTTTACATTTCAGAATTCAGAACAGAATTATGCTATAATAATGCAATATGATATCATAATGCTGCATGTTCATTTTTGCAAGAGTACAGTAATCTTGTCAGGAAAAAAAAAAGTTTTTTATTTTTACAACAAGTCTGTGTAAATATCTCAACTTTTGGTGGTATGATCAAATAACTAGTCCAAAAAAAAACAAGAACAATTTTCAGTTTTTTTTATCACAAAACAAAAATGTCTGAAGTGAAGGCATTTCCATACATTGGACTATGAACAGTATGCATACTGCTATTCTTTTTTTTTTAATAATTATTATTATTTTTTTTTAATCCAAGCCTGTGTAAATGTCTTGACTTTTGGTGGTATAATCAAATAACTAGTAAAAAAAAATCAAATTGAATAAAAATATAAAAATGTAATTTTTTACCATTTATTGAAAAACAACAAAAACTGAGATTACATCAAACATTTTATCAAAATCAAAATAAAATAAAATAAAATGTCCAAAGTGACGTGACATGTGGCCAAGTATGGTGACCCATACTCGGAATTAGTGCTCTGCATTTATCCCATCCAAAGTGCACACACACAGCAGTGAACACACACAAACCGTGAACACACACCCGGAGCAGTGGGCAGCCATTTATGCTGCGGCGCCCGGGGAGCAGTTGGGGGTTCGGTGCCTTGCTCAAGGGCACCTCAGTCGTGGTATTGAAGGTGGGAGAGAGCACTGTACATTCACTCCCCCCACCTACAATCCCTGGCGGTACGAGACTCGAACCCGCAACCTTTGGGTTATGAGTCCGACTCTCTAACCATTAGGCCACGACTTCCCCGTGGAGGCACTCCAAAGTGGAGGCACTTTCATACAGTCTGGTATTTCATGCACACAAAAACCCAGATAAACGCATCAGAGCACATCATTAACTAAAAAAAAAAAAAAAAGGTCAAAATTGAAATGGCTCTGCGGAACAAGACACTGTTAAAAAAGTAGGGGTAAGCCAGATAATAGTTGATCTCAGTATCCCGAAGATCCTGGACTGTCCGATAAGTCCTCAACAACATAAAACATAGCACTCAATACACCATTCTGCCCTCATTCCTGGAAATGATGCCCGCACCCTAAGCTGATCTATATCAAACTGCCTCCTGGCCGCTGGTCTGCAGTAATCTATTGGCCACAGCCACTGCCATGGCTTAAGTAGCACCACGCATTGATTTTAAGATACGATTAAGTCACACTAAGACCCGAAGAAAGAAGACTCTCACTGCCTAACTGAGTCACCGTGTTCTGTTCGATATCGGTCAGTGATATCTCCCCCGAGCTGAAACCTACAACACACACACGACATGATATCGAGATCTTTTATCACGGCAGAGGGATTAATATAATAAGACTCATCGTGGAGCGAGCAGGGCAGAAGTGGAGGTGGTGAGGGATGGGCTTTAACCAAAACCAGATGCCAATTTAAACCAATCATTGAGGGAACGAGAAAAGTTGCCCTAGACCTTATCGAGACGCCAGTGAAAGAGAACTGTCTGGAAAGCATTGCATTTGGTTTTAAGTGCAATATGTGTGTACAAATCTAATAAAAACCTTAAAAATGGCAAACACAGAGTCTAAACCAAGGCTTTTCAATGTTTTTAATGTCAAGTAGCCCCAAATATAATAATAGTAATTAATAATAATAATATGATATGACGCCCTTCCCAAAATATATAACTGTAAAACATTATTAATCCAAACTTTTTATTTGAATAGCAATTTTTCCACAATAAATATTTTTCACTGTAAATCAACTGAATATATATATATATTTTTTTTTCTCTGAATTTTTCTTGTACCACTTTGAAAAACCCAGGTCTAAACAATAAGCACTCTAAACATCTGAATATTGTTGAAAACCCCTCTGGGAAAGTTTTTTTTTTTTTTTTTAATGCTAAATGTGATTTCCTTTAGTAGGACAAGTTTTTTTTTTTTTTTTTTGCTCTTGGAACAACACTGCCAATAATCAATCAGATTTTAAGGTTAGGTACAGGATCCAACCAATCAGATTTCAGAGTTAGGGTTAAGTCCAGGGTTAGGGATTCAACCAATCTAACCCACCAATCACTTCCATCCAATTTCTAGGGTAGATTTAGCATTAAGGATATGATTAGAGGACGACTCATCGCTCAAAATTTTATTCCAGGACCAGAAAGTATGTTGATTCTTGAATTCTTGGCTTTTTGCAACATATTGCATCCAGATGAAAATGCACTCGACGAACAGATGTCTTGATGTTTTTGTGCTATCAGGGTAATTCTTTCTTTATCAAATCCATTTTCTTCTGAACAGTGGCGATTAAATATTCAACGCCTGTGTATTTGCGTGTGTGTGGGGAGGGCTGGGATTTGATACCTCTGAGAGTGATAGACAGGATGTTAGCATCTCTATTTCTCTGTCTACTCACTCTTTCACACTAACAGAGTGAGAGAGAGAATAAACGGCTCACACCCTCGTAAATCCAACACTAGAACAGCTGCCGTTAAATCCTTCAACATACGCTCAAGCACGCGTAATGAGAACACGCAGGCTTGACCTTGTCCGAAAGCATGTAAGCACGCATGCATCTTAAACAGCCTTTTCAAAATACAGTCCTTACTCCGATGTTTCTTATCAATTTTGATTCATGTCATAAAAAGGAAAATAATCGCTCACTTAGTTTGAAGACATGGGGTTTTGGAGCAGCCGTTGCTGTAGATAACAGGGTTGCGCACCATTTAAATTC